CTGACCGAACCCAAAGGGTGCTCATCAATGGTTCCTCTTCATCCTGGAGAAGAGTGACTAGTGGGGTGCCACAGGGTTCTGTCTTGGGCCCGGTCTTATTCAACATCTTTATCAACGACTTGGATGATGGACTCAAGGGCATCCTGATCAAATTTGCAGATGACACCAAACTGGGAGGGTGGCTAACACCCCAGAGGACAGGATCACACTCCAAAACGACCTTGACAGATTAGAGAACTGGGCAAAAACAAACAAGATGAATTTTAACAGGGAGAAATGTAAAGTATTGCACTTGGGCAAAAAAATGAGAGGCACAAATACAAGATGGGGGACACCTGGCTTGAGAGCAGTACATGTGAAAAGGATCTAGGAGTCTTGGTTGACCACAAACTTGACATGAGCCAACAGTGTGACGCGGCAGCTAAAAAGCCAATGCAATTCTGGGCTGCATCAATAGGAGTATAGCATCTAGATCAACGGAAGTAATAGTGCCACTGTATTCTGCTCTGGTCAGACCTCACCTGGAGTACTGCGTCCAGTTCTGGGCACCACAGTTCAAGAAGGACACTGACAAACTGGAACGTGTCCAGAGGAGGGCAACCAAAATGGTCAAAGGCCTGGAAACGATGCCTTATGAGGAACGGCTAAGGGAGCTGGGCATGTTTAGCCTGGAGAAGAGGAGGTTAAGGGGTGATATGATAGCCATGTTCCAATATATAAAAGGATGTCACATAGAGGAGGGAGAAAGGTTGTTTTCTGCTGCTCCAGAGAAGCGGACACGGAGCAATGGATCCAAACTACAAGAAAGAATATTCCACCTAAACATTAGGAAGAACTTCCTGACAGTAAGAGCTGTTTGACAGTGGAATTTGCTGCCAAGGAGTGTGGTGGAGTCTCCTTCTTTGGAGGTCTTTAAGCAGAGGCTTGACAACCATATGTCAGGAGTGCTCTGATGGTGTTTCCTGCTTGGCACGGGGTTGGACTCGATGGCCCTTGTGGTCTCTTCCAACTCTAGGATTCTATGAAATGGAGGCAGTGAGAGATTTTACTTTCTTGGGCTCCATGATCACTGCAGATGGTGACAGCAGCCACAAAATTAAAAGACACCTGCTTCTTGGGAGAAAAGCAATGAGAAACCTAGACATCATCTTAAAAAGCAGAGACATCACCTTGCCGACCATATAGTTAAAACTATGGTTTAGTGATGTATGGAAGTGAGAGCTGGACCATAAAGAAGGCTGATCACCGAAGAATTGATGCTTTGGAATTATGGTGCTGGATGAGATTCTTGAGAGTCCCATGGACTGCAAGAAGATCAAACCTTGAGGAAATCAGCCCCGAGTGCTCACTTGGAAGGACAGATCCTGAAACTGAGGCTTCAAGAGTTTGGCCACCTCATGAGACGACTCCCTGGAAAAGACCCTGATGTTGGGAAAGATGGAGGGCACAAGGAGAAGGGGATGACAGAGGATAAGTGTTCTTGAAGCTACTAATATGAGTTTGACCAAACTGTGGGAGGCAGTGGAAGACAGGAGTGCCTGGTGTGCTCTGGTCTATGGGGTCACAAAGAGTAGGATACGACCAGTGGCGGAGCTTCATGCTACAGCACGGGGGGGGACAGAGAGAAGGTGGGGGCAGGGCTGGCGCGTGTTCCAGGGGCGGTGCGCACAACCTGGGGGGGGGGAGCAGCCACGATGGCACCCCACCGGGATCGCGCTGCCAGGGGCAGTGCTCTCCCCCCGCACTCCTCTTCTTCTGCCAGTGGACACGACTAAACAACTAAACAACAACAACAACAAGCTTGGAAGAGAAGAGGCTGAGAGGAGATATGATAGCCAACTTCAAATATCTGAAGGGCTGTCACATGGAAGAGGGAGCAAGCTTGTTTTCTCCTGTTCTGAAGCATAGGGCTCAAACCAATGGATTTAAGTTATAAGAAATGAGATTCCAACTAAACATCAGTAAGAACCTTTGACAGTAGGAGCTGTCTGATAGTGGAACGGGCTCCCTCAGGAGGTTGCGGACTGTCCTTCCTTGGAGGTTTTTAATCAGAGGTTGGATGGCCCTCTTGTCATGGATGCTTTGCAGGGGGTTGGATGAGATGACCCTTGGGAGTTCTTCCAGTTCCGCAATTTTTCAGTTCTATCATTCTGTGACTTAAAACGTCCCTAAGAGAAGTGCATGCAAGTGTGCTGGCATTCAGAGACACAAACACTGTCCTGTGTTCAAGGGTGCCAGCTTGAATAAAATATGGGGTGCGGAGCCAACTAGTCTCTTTTGCAACATTGGTCAGTGTACTTCATTCAATTTTAGATCTACATAGATTCTCAGTTACCCATTTGTAAAAAAAACCACAGGCACCACAGGCACACACCATGCAGTTGGTTTTTCCATTCTCTTTAGTTCAGATTGTACCTTGTGAAGTGATGGAATAAGAATTCTCTGTGCTGAATGTACACTATATGATTCTGCATTATCCCTCAAAACAATATCAACAGTGTCCCACTGGATTTGGATTTGATATCCCTAAGGCGTCTCAAAGCGGCTAACATTCTCCTTTCCCTTCCTCCCCCACAACAAACACTCTGTGGGGCTGAGAGACTTCAGAGAAGTGTGACTAGCCCAAGGTCACCCAGCAGCTGCAGGTGGAGGAGTGGAGATGCGAACCCAGTTCCCCAGATTATGAGTCTATCGCTCTTAACCACTACACCACACTGGCTCTCTCATTCTTTTCCCAATACATCCTCAATATGAACTATATTCCCTACAAGGTTCATAATGGCAGCTACACTGTGGCTGAGGTTATCTGTTTTTGACCCTCTAATCACATACACAATGAAATGGAAGGTTTTTTTAAAAAAAAATTATTGCATGTTTCTGCAGAGAATTCTTCCACAGAGGTCAAGGTACCTCCAGGTTTCAACACAGAGGTTGGCTCAAGGCAAATATATATTGCTTCTGATTTTACAGTACTGTCACATCAGCACCTGAATCAGTTTTTAAATCTATGGGCTTGTCGCCAATGTTTAATTCCAATCTCCATATTGGCTCAGTATCATCACAAACAACAAATCCCAGAAAAGGTGGATTAGAACCGTCATTTGTCACTTTTTTGTACTATCTTAGTGTTCAAGTTTTTTTAAAACTTGTGGCATTGGACTCTTCTGGTTGGGCATCTCTCCCCACCCCTGGGCTGTGTTTTTAGTGAACTGAGAAAGAGCTGAACTTGCTTAATCCAACCTGCTTTGGAAAGTTTATTATTAAGCGCTTTTTGTAGATGGGTATTTTTTCCTGCTAGGATTCTGTGTACTGGAGACCTCCAGGTTGCTTTCTGGCAATTTCTGCTTGCTGTTCTGAGGTTTAACAAGAGAGGAACCATGGATCCCAGGACATTCCCGGATCAGAAGCTGGTGTGGCTTCTTTAAATTTGTGGTGTCCCAGTAAAAGTGGGACAGTTAAGCAGTTATGATCTTGGACTCCCTTCTCTTTGAGTACTTCTGACCTTGGGGGCAGTGGCGTAGCGTGGGGGTGCAGGGGGGCCGGCCGCAACATCTGGGGCGCGCGTGCTTGCACTCGCAGCTCTCTGCCCCTACCTGGCTCACTCACTCTCTCTCACTGCAGTGCTGGCTGTGCGAATCCGATCCGAGCCGCTGGGTCGCCGCCCACTGTGGAGGGGGTGGGTGCCAGGCGTGCGGTGCGGAGAGAGAGCGGGGACTATCTGGGGGAGGGACAGTGCAGCGGCCGCGCAGCGCAGCGCTGAGCGCGGGAGAGAACCACACCAGACCAGCCCAGGCAGCAGCAAGAAGAAGCTGGCAGCAGCGGCAGGTTAGGGGTTAAGGGGGCGCAAATTACTTGCCTTGCCCCGGGTTAGGGGGCGCAAATTACTTGCCTTGCCCCGGGTGCTGACAACCCACGCTATGCCGCTGCTTGGGGGTCTCACCCAGTAGCTCCTTAAGCTTTTGAATTCAGTCTTAAGGTCCAGAGTGTGTGTCCAACTGCACTCAGCTTTCCTTTGCCTCTGTATCATGAAACCCAGGAGGATGTGATCACTTCCTCCTAAGTTTCCCAGAACTTCTACTTCATTGAATCAATAGGTAAGCAACTTTTCTTTGGTACCTGTTCTTTCCTATACCTGAAATATCTGAAATAAAAAAAGACCTGAGTTTGTATGTATTAAAACCAAGAGACCATTTTTTAAAAACAAATAGCTTTATTACAAATTATATTTTTTATGAAGTACACAGTCAAGTAAGTTTCCTATAAGGCCTTTAAAAATTATGTTGGCTTGATTATAATGATGCAATCTATTTTAGACATAAATGTCTAAAATAGCAGCATATTTTATAGAAACCCAATAAATAAATACATCGGACCATTTTGCATTCCACAGGAAAACAACAAAAATGCAGTATAGAACATGAGGGCATGTTCATTTCATTGATCAGCAAGAATTATGTTTCTTCTTGCATGCAGGCTCCTTAATGCCATACACAATTCAGCCAAGAAAAAATGTTTGTATGTCAGTACCCTCTGTTATGTCAATAAGGAATATTGGTGTTCTCTTTCCCCAGAACTCTTCTTTACATTAGTATTAATTTGTACAACAACCTTAATTATATAATAAAGAGCCTGAGAATTCAAGATAGAATGAAGTAATCCTACATATCTAATGCACAGAAATTGAAAAGGGGCATTTACACACCTGAGGCAGAGCTGTACTTCTCTTAGCACCTTTGGTTTTTTGGGGTGGGGGAAGATTTAGAGTATCAGTGCATCACATTCATTTATAAGATAATGTTTATTCAAAAGTGACATTTGAAGTGTATCATCTTCATCTTCAGCAAGTAAAGAGCCAAGAAGTAGAGTTTAGTTAGGCAGGTTCCTGTAAGGCACTTGACAGTTTTCATGCTGGGTGACAATGAGGTACATAGGATATATGCCTAAGCTTCACGCTGTTAACACAATAGCACCATATTGTGATATTAGGTACAACTGGAATCTCATGTTCTTCTCATACATACTTGGCAACGGCTAACATTTGAGTGTAGATCTCCTGCTTTTAGTGTGGAAGGAGTAGGTTTCCTGAAAATTAAAAACAAAAAAGCTAAAAGTGACCAGTGAAGAAAATTGTTTTGAAGGAATAGTGTGTCAAACTCAGCTCACATACTGAAACTGTCAGATCATAACTTTCTACAATGAACAGAAATTAATGAGCTTAACCTCTGCCTCCTTCTTAAAGCCAGTTCTTAAATTGTAGGAATTCCTACTCCTATAGGATTGATTCCCACACTATTCCTTGATACTGTCCTTGAAAGTAAATCACAATGTTGATCCCTCTGACATAGCTTCCTGTGTTCAAAGTACAATACAGTGGTACCTCGGGTTAAGTACTTAATTCATTCCGGAGGTCCGTACTTAACCTGAAACTGTTTTTAACCCGAAGCACCACTTTAGCTAATGGGGCCTCCTGCTGCTGCTGTGCCGCCGCTGCACAATTTCTGTTCTCATCCTGAAGCAAAGTTCTTAACCCGAGGTAATATTTCTGGGTTAGCGGAGTCTGTAACCTGAAGTGTATGTAACCTGAAGCACATGTAACCCGAGTTACCACATGGAAGCAGAACATGAAAGAACTACAGTGGTACCTCAGGTTACAGGTGCTTCAGGTTACAGACACTTCAGATTAGACTCTGCTAACCCAGAAATAGTACCTCGGGTTAAGAACTTTGCTTCAGGATGAGAACAGAAATTGCGCGGCAGCAGTGGGAGGCCCCCCAGCACTGGGCACATTTTTTTGAGGGGGTGTGACCATGGGCCCCCACAATAGGCTCCCTTATTAGGCATGTGAGGGAGCTGCAGAGACAGCTTCCCTGCATGACAGCTCAATGCTGCTAGCTCAACTGGGCTGCTAGCTCCTCAACTGGGCTGCGGCATGCAAGTGAACTCCACATGCTGCTTTGTGAGGCGAGCCACAGCGGGCTCCCTCGGCTTCCATCCTCTTTGGGGGTGTGCCCCAGGCGCCTGCCCCGGCAGTGGAGCATATACTCCTCTGCTGCTATCTGAGCACACTTCTGTTCCTGATCCATAACTGGCTGTAATGCACTTCTTCTCTAGGCTGAATCTGTATCAGGTCCAAAGTAATAGTTTGACCAAAATATGCATTAAAGCATGCAGACAACTTGTATCTGAACTGTGAATTGGGATCTCAATTGCAGTGGGAATCTGATTGATAGAATCTGGTCAGGTAGAAGCACAACAGAAACAAACAAAAAAAAGGGACCAAAAAGGCAAAGTAAGTTCACTCTGTCACATCTAGTCACATTAATTTTAACTATTTAAAAAGCTGCTTTCAAAATGCATTTTTTATATCCTTGGGCAGGTATTGTCAATGCAGAAGATGTTTCCAACTTACTTGAACATTTCATTTCTCTCAATAGTGGCAAGCCAGAAGCTGTAAGCATTTGCATAATAATTGCAGGTGCCCTTGCCGTGGCATTCTATGAAGGGAGCACTGCGGAACTCTTCCAGACAGGAACCTGGAGATGCCAGAGCTTGCCCTGAGCCTTCTGCACCAGCACTGGTGTGCTGCCAAAAATACATGCATCAGTTGATAAGAATAGATTATTGTTTTTAGTTACATATAATTCAACAGTACATTTAGTATTTAATAACAATTCAGTGGGGTAAATAACTGTTATTTGTATTCTACAGATGGGACTAGAAGTTGAAAAATAGTAAAGGTAAAGGTAAAGGTAAAGGGACCCCTGACCATTAGGTCCAGTCGCAGACAACTCTGGGGTTGCAGCGCTCATCTCGCTATATTGGCCGAGGGAGCCGGCGTACAGCTTCCAGGTCATGTGGCCAGCATGACTAAACCGCTTCTGGCGAACCAGAGCAACCGCGGAAACGCCGTTTACCTTCCCGCCGGAGCGGTACCTATTTATCTACTTGCACTTTGACATGCTTTTGAACTGCTGGGTTGGCAGGAGCAGGGACTGAGCAACTGGAGCTTACCCCGTCACAGGGATTCGAACCGCTGACCTTTTGATCAGCAAGCCCTGATCAAAGCCCAGCAACTGGAGGAACGTGTAGCTACGCTCCAAAGAATTAGAGAGCTGGAGCTCTTCTTGGAAGCAACAGAGCACACCGTCTCCACCAAGGAGGAGACAGGGGACTCCCCTGAGAAGGAGGCTAGTTCACCAACACAGGAGCCAGATATATGGAGAAACGTGACTCAAAGAAGTAGGAGGCCCAGGGTTCGCTCTGATTGTTTAGAAATACACAATCGCTTTGAGGTCCTCTCCCCTAGCATGGAAGATGAAGAGCAGACTCTATTTGAGGATCTCTCCCTCATTACAGTCGATCAGGTATATGAAGACGAGCAGCAAAGTCAGTCCTCAGGGAATGTGCAGGCGACCTTGGAACAGACAGCTCACGGAAGAACCCCGACCAAACCTAAGAGGAGGCGTGTAGTGGTGATAGGGGATTCCCTACTGAGGGGAACAGAAGCAGTGATCTGTGGGCCTGACAAGATGTCTCGGGAAGTGTGCTGTCTCCCGGGGCTAAGATCCAAGATGTAACTGAACGACTGCAAGGAATCATAAAACCCACTGACAAATACCCCCTCCTCTTGGTTCATGTGGGAACCAATGACACTGCAAGTAATAGCCTCCAGAAGATCAAAAGAGACTACGAGGCTCTGGGCAGGAAATTGAAGCAATTAAATGCACAAATTGTCATCTCATCTGTCCTCCCAGTTGAACGACGTGGCCCAGGGAGAGAGGGAAAAATAGTGGAAGTGAACAGCTGGCTTCGCAAATGGTGTAAACAGGAACGGTTTGGATTCTTAGATCACGGACTGCAGTTTCTTGAAGATGGACTTCTGGCAAGCGATGGGCTGCACCTCACAACGGTTGGGAGAAATGTTTTTGCCAAAAATCTCAGAAACCTCATCAGGAGGGCTTTAAACTGACTAATGTGGGGGAGGGAGACAGTGCTCCTGAAGGTAGGAGTCTATCAATTGATGATCATCCAAATGTCATAGACCAAATGGAGCAAACAGCACGCAGACCTAGTGGTGGGAGGAAAAAATCCTTAAATAAGAGTCACGGGGGAATGATTAATGGACTTCAATGTCGGTACACTAATGCGCAAAGCATGGGAAATAAACAAGATGAGCTTGAGCTCTTGGTACAGCAAACTAAATATGACATAATAGGCATCACTGAAACCCGGTGGGATAAGTCCCACAATTGGAATGTAATAATGGAGGGATACAATCTATTTCAGTGAAACAGACCAGACAAGAAAGGAGGAGGAGTGGCGTTATATGTCAGGGATGTGTATACCTGTGAAGAGATCCAAGATTTAGAACCTCAAAGCCAAAGTGAGAGCATTTGGGTCAAAATTAAGGGAGAGAAGAATAACAGTGACCTCATTGTGGGAGTTTACTATAGATCCCCAAGCCAAACGGAGGACATAGATGATGCCTTCCTGGAACAGATGGCCAAACATGCAAAAGGAAGGGAGATAGTAGTAATGGGGGACTTCAATTACCCGGATATTTGTTGGATGTCAAACTCAGCCAAGAGCATAAGGTCAAACAGATTCCTCACTGGCCTTGCAGACAACTTCATTGTCCAGAAAGTGGGAGAAGCAACAAGAGGATCAGCCATTTTAGATCTGGTCCTAACCAATGTTGATGACCTGGTTAGTGGGGTATCTAGTGGAAGGATCATTAGGCGCGAGTGATCATGCTCTTCTGAAGTTTACTATACAGCGGAAAGGAGCACCCAAGCATACTAGGACTCAATTTCTTGACTTTAAGAAAGCCGACTTCATAAAACTTAGGGAAGTGCTGGGTGAGATCCCATGGACAGTGATACTAAAAGGAAAGGGAGTTCATGATGGCTGGGAGTTTGTTAAGAGGGAGATAGTAAAAGCACAACTTCAGGCAATACCAATGAGACGGAAACATGGAAGGTGCCTAAAGAAGCCAGGGTGGCTATCTAAAGAACTTTTAACTGAGTTAAGATTAAAAAAGGATGTGTACAAAAATGGAAAAGGGGAAAACCACCAAAGAGGAATTCAAACAAATAGCCAGCACGTGTAGACACAAAGTCAGAAAAGCTAAAGCACAGAATGAACTCAGGCTTGCTAGAGAGGTTAAAAGCAACAAAAAAGGCTTTTATGGGTATGTTCGTTGCAAAAGGAAGAACAAAGAAACAGTGGGGTTACTCAGAGGAGAAGATGGTGAAACGCAAACAGGGGACACAGAAAGGGCTGAACTCCTCAATGCCTTCTTTGCCTCAGTCTTCTCCGATAAAGAAAACAATGCCCGACCTGAAGAATTTGGAGCAAATGATTCAGCAGAGGAAACACAGCCCAGAATAACTAAGGAGATAGTACAAGAATACTTGGCTAGTTTAGATGTATTCAAGTCTCCAGTGCCAGATGAACTGCATCCAAGAGTATTAAAAGAACTGGCAGATGTGATCTCAGAACCACTGGCAGTCATCTTTGAGAATTCCTGGAGAACAGGCGAAGTCCCGGCAGACTGGAGGAGGGCAAATGTTGTCCCTATTTTCAAAAAGGGGAAAAGAGAGGACCCAAATAATTACCGCCCAGTCAGCCTGACATCAATGCCAGGGAAGATTCTGGAGCAGATCATTAAGCAAACAGTCTGTGACCACCTAGAAAGGAATGCTGTGATCACCAATAGTCAGCATGGATTTCTGAAAAATAAGTCATGTCAGACTAACCTGATCTCGTTTTTTGACAGAATTACAAGCCTGGTAGATGAAGGGAACCCAGTGGATGTAGCCTACCTTGATTTCAGCAAGGCATTTGACAAGGTGCCCCATGATATTCTTGTAAAGAAGCTGGTAAAATGTGGTCGTGACTATGCTACCACTCAGTGAATTTGTAACTGGCTGACTGACCGAACCCAAAGGGTGCTCATCAATGGTTCCTCTTCATCCTGGAGAAGAGTGACTAGTGGGGTGCCACAGGGTTCTGTCTTATTCAACATCTTTATCAACGACTTGGATGATGGACTCAAGGGCATCCTGATCAAATTTGCAGATGACACCAAACTGGGAGGGGTGGCTAACACCCCAGAGGACAGGATCACACTTCAAAACGACCTTGACAAATTAGAGAACTGGGCAAAGACAAACAAGATGAATTTTAACAGGGAGAAATGTAAAGTATTGCACTTGGGCAAAAAAAATGAGAGGCACAAATACAAGATGGGTGACACCTGGCTTGAGAGCAGTACATGTGAAAAGGATCTAGGAGTCTTGGTTGACCACAAACTTGACATGAGCCAACAGTGTTACGCGGCAGCTAAAAAAGCCAATGCAATTCTGGGCTGCATCAATAGGAGTATAGCATCTAGATCAAGGGAAGTAATAGTGCCACTGTATTCTGCTCTGGTCAGACCTCACCTGGAGTACTGTGTCCAGTTCTGGGCACCACAGTTCAAGAAGGACACTGACAAACTGGAACGTGTCCAGAGGAGGGCAACCAAAATGGTCAAAGGCCTGGAAACGATGCCTTATGAGGAACGGCTAAGGGAGCTGGGCATGTTTAGCCTGGAGAAGAGGAGGTTAAGGGATGATATGATAGCCATGTTCCAATATATAAAAGGATGTCACATAGAGGAGGGAGAAAGGTTGTTTTCTGCTGCTCCAGAGAAGCGGACACGGAGCAATGGATCCAAACTACAAGAAAGAAGATTCCACCTAAACATTAGGAAGAACTTCCTGACAGTAAGAGCTGTTTGACAGTGGAATTTGCTGCCAAGGAGTGTGGTGGAGTCTCCTTCTTTGGAGGTCTTTAAGCAGAGGCTTGACAACCGTATGTCAGGAGTGCTCTGATGGTGTTTCCTGCTTGGCAGGGGGTTGGACTTGATGGCCCTTGTGGTCTCTTCCAACTCTAGGATTCTATGATTCTATGATTCTAAGCCCTAGGCTCAGTGGTTTAAAATGGTTTACCATTTTAGATGTTACATTTAAATTATGGACACAAGAAATGCAAAAATAGTTTGTGTATCTGATGCATCAGGTGAAGTGAGTGGACTCTAGTCTCTGAAAATTTATATTATAATAAAATTTGTTCATCTTTAAAATGCCACAAAGCTTATTGCTGACTCTGAACAATGACTTACAGTACATCCTATACCTGGGGGCCGGATGCAGCCCAATCGCCTTCTCAATCCGGCCTGTGGACCGTTAGGGAATCAGTATGTTTTTATATGAGTAGAATGTGTCCTTTTATTTAAAATGCATCTCTGGGTTATTTGTGGGGCATAGGAATTCATTCATTATTCCCCCCCCCAAAAAAAATATAGTCTGGCCCACCACATGGTCTGAGGATTGGCTCACAGCTGAAAAAGGTTGCTGACCCTTGTCCTATACAGATACCACAATGGTTGACGTCACAATCTCTTCTGATATGAACCTACTAGTGGAGCCCTCCATGTGCCACCTCTGAGGGACATTTTGAAAAAGCTGACAAGGGATTTATGAAACCCTTCCCCAGTGAGGCCTACCAATGTCACCAGGTGAAAATCTCCCTCTGTTCCAAAGCATGCAATGGCATGTGATGGGCTGCTGTTGTTTTTCTTACTGATCATAAACGCTTTGATTTGTTTTTTAGTTGTTCATGCTGCCAGTTTTTATTTTGCTTATAGGGTGTGTACTTTTAGTATTCTATGGATTCATGCTGATTCCTCCTTGGTTTTATATCTTGATAAGTTGGGCCATTTTTGAGAAGGAGACTCCAAAATTTAATAAATAACAATAAAAAACAATAAATTTTACCTAGAAAAAAGTACCACTATGTTCAAATTAGGCTTACCCTGTATTAAATGTCCAACCATAAAAGCACATGGTGCTCATAGCCCAGGTTTTACCATCCACCCCACTGGCTATCAAATAGTCCTTCATTAAAGGTACATTTTAAGATAATTCTGTGGTTGCTTTAAGTGTCTACACAAACCCATCCAGCACAAGCTACTCTCCCGGGGACTGGAACCACCCACCACGGAAACCAGGATCAGGATACCAATGACACTTTGACTCAAAATGTCTAATGACTCCTCCTAGTGGTGAACAGCACTGAGGACAAGATTGTGTTATATGACATCATAAGACTGAAGCAATCTCCCAATACTGTTCTCTGGACACAGCTGTGCAAGCAGAAGTGGAAAAACTGTGAAAGAGTGCTCTTAATAACCCACAGAGCCAGTCCAGGAGTCATGACCAGGATATCGGGGTCAATTCTATCAAAAGTTGATGAGAGATCCAGAACCAGAGTCCCACTCTTCCCATTCCAATCTCAGTACAAGGGTGACCAAGGTTCACCAAGGTATAGTCCTCAAATTGTACATGCACCCAGACTGGAATTGATCCATATCCGCTTAGTTATTTGTTCTGTCCTACATTTCAAGCATTTCAAGGGCTTTATATATTTGCATTTTTTAAATATTGTCATAAAGTTAATGTGTGTGTGTGGGAGGGTGTTGTTGGATCAACTCTATTGATTTGTCTGCTGTTGCGGGGGTGGGGGTGGTTAGGACATTGTCTAGTTGTGGCACATGTGTGATAAAGGCTACACCAGGGTGAAGGCGTCCTCCTTTGTTTGTCCCTGTGCAAGTTTGAGTTTGTTGGTTAGCTGCTTTACTCTTTGTGTTGTCACAATCAATGCAGTGGCATCCGCAACAGTACAGCACTTAATGGGGATAGGCACAATTGTTGTTGCCCTCTAAGGTAAATTCTGAAACCCAGTTTAGTTTCACCACACATCTTGCCCCAGATCTTAAATTCCAAGCATTGTTGTGGCAGGGTAACCAGGCAGAAGTGTGGATAAACTCATAAAATCAGAGTCCATTCAATTTATTCCCTAAGAAATGGCAGATAGCATGGTCACCAGGGTCACCCTGAAGAAATCTGGACAGCTAGACAAGCAAAAATAGAACTTTAAAAGGGAACTTGCTCATATATCTTAAAAAGAATGGGTTCTTTTTAGATTGTGTGAAAAAGAATGGAACATGTACTAGTAGAAATAGAATTAAATGAATTCAGGTATAACTTGGAGCACTTACCATCACAAAGGAGTAGCCTATCCACAGCGATCTCCATCCTTCTGGACACGGTGGAATTTGAATTGTTTGACTGTGAACTGCCATCACCATTGCAGAAGCTTCACATACAGCACACCTGAGAAAAGTATAATGCAAAGTTGAAAAAATACATATAGATTGAATACCCTCCAGTCCTCCCTTTTACTGCATTATTCATCACAACAGCTCCCTGCCTTGGAGGTATTGCCAACCTGGCCTGGGAGGATAGGGCTTTAGCTACAAAGGCTGAGGCAGCAGAACAAACTATTGAGTTGGTGTATTGTTTAGGGCAGGATGGTCCAGCATGTGGCCCATGGGGGATGACCCTCCCTCCTGCTAATTCCCCCAGCTCCCAAGTGCCATTCAGATCAAAGATGGCGAAACTTCTGCTCACCAATGACTCTAGCATGGGCAAGACCTGCTTGCACTTCCGCTTCAGTGAGGATGTCTTCAACATCACCTTCATCTCCACCACTGGTGAGGCAAGGCTCAGGGTTGTGGCCTTGACCTCCTCCTGAGGGATGCTTCTTCAGGCAGATGCCTCTGATGGAGAGGCAGAGGGTGGCATTCCTCACCCCCCCCTCTTGAGCACATCCAGCTGGGATGAGGGGGCCATGAGGAGGCAAGTCAAGTTTCAATTTCCCTCTTTCTTGCCCCACTATCTTGTCCCTCAGATCGGTTTTTGGTTTTGGATTTTAAAGGGGGAGGGGTGTTGTTCATGTGACATCCTTTCTTTCCTCTAACTTCACCTCTTTCCTCTGACTTTACCTCCACCCCCCCATCATGTTGTGTTTGGCGAGAAATGGGCAGGGTGGAGTTACATTTGGAAGGGCCACCAAGGCATTTACCCAGAGCAGGGGGCATGAGAGGAGGGGGTTCCGCAGAAGTCTTTAGCCCATGATGTGGGTCTCTTTCTCTTCCTCTCCTCTCCTGCTTTCCTTCATGGCTTTGGTGCGCTCACAAATCTACCCCCCCCCCATTCGTTCATTAGGCCATATGTTGCCTCCCTCAAATGTCATCTTGGCCCCTAATTGGGGTGAGGGAGGGTGGATATGCACTTACAAGCAGGACATGAAGGCAACACAGTGTTTGCTGTGAGAGAGCAAATCTCTATCCACTTTCTCTTGACAATCTTGTATTAGCTGATACACCTCTACTTTATCTTCTCTTAATTTGCCTTTTTTATAAACTAAAAAGTTTCATATGTTGCAACCTTTTCGTTTTCTTTCCTATTTTCCAGCTCCATTGGTGGTGGTGTATGCATTGGTGTGCATACATCTGTTTGTGTACTGAATTTGTTTAATAAATAAATGTATTAAACCTATGAACAGTGCATTTAATTATATATATTATTGTGTATATTAAATAATATTAACTATATTGCCAACACTTTATGATATGGACTCCCTGGTCCTGAATGGGGTAACTGTGCCCCTGAAGGACCAGGTGCGCAGTCTGGGAGTCATTTTGGACTCACAGCTGTCCATGCAGGCGCAGGTCAATTCTGTATCCAGGGCAGCTGTCTACCAACTCCACCTGGTACGCAGGCCCTACCTGCCTGCGGACTGTCTCGCTAGAGTGGTGCATGCTCTGCGTGGGGCTCTACGTGGGGCTACCGTTGAAGGTGACCCAGAAACTACAACTAATTCAGAATGCAGCAGCTAGACTGGTGACTGGGGGTGGCCGCCGAGACCACTGGTCCTGAAATACTTACATTGGCTCCCAGTACATTTCTGAGCACAATTCAAAGTGTTGAAAGCCCTTGAAAGCCCTAAACGGCCTCAGACCAGTAAACCTGAAGGAGTGTCTCCACCTCCATCGTTCAGCCTGGACACTGAGGTCCAGCTCCCAGGGCCTTCTGGCAGCTCCCTCACTGTGAGAAGTTACAGGTAACCAGGCAGAGGGCCTTCTCAATAATGACACCCACCCTGTGGAACTCCCTCCCATCAGATGTCAAGGAAATAAACAACTATCTGACTTTTAGAAGACACCTGAAGGCATCCCTCTTTAGGGAAGTTTTTAATGTTTGATGTTTTATTGTATTTTTAATATTTTGTTGAAAGTGTTGGGGGAGTGGTTGGGGAAACCCAGCCAGATGGGTGGGTTATAAACAACAACAACAACAACAACAAGTCCAGACTCAGAGGCAGAAGCAGAAGCAGAGGCTGGAGAGAAAGGGGGGCAAGAAACAGGGATGGCAGGCAGGCTGCAAGGGGGTCTCCCCCTCCTGCTGTGACCAGCTCATCTCCCAGGACCAGAAGAGGTATGAAGAGGGCAGAGCAGAATTAGCAGTGTCAACGGACTCTCAGATTGCTTGGGAAGGACCCAGAGGAAGAGGAGACTTAGGCAACTGTGGGACGATGGGGACCTTCAGTCCTCACAAGTGCCTCACGGAGGTGTTTCTTTGAATAAAGAGTTAACTTCACTGACACCATGTGAGTTAATACTGATCTGCTTTTGGCCCCTGCCTCTGATACCCGAGTTAGCCAGAAGCTCACATAGGATGGGGGGGGGTGCGGAGAGAAGCTGCCCATGTCCTTTCATCCTACTGCGCTGAGCATACTGGGGAAAATATGGTGTGCTCCACCAGTGGACTGGAGGAAGAAAGTTCCCCCTCAGGGTTGCAAGGCTATGATAGGATTCCTGGCTGGCAACTCTGCTTTGCTCCACCTGTCTTGTCCTGTGCCTTCCACTACATGACAGTGATTATTCTATCCCTCTCTGAGCAACAATCCACCTGCCATCCACATATCCTCAGCCTGAACATCTGGATAGTGAGGGAGCTCCTTTCAACTGCTCTAGAATACATTTCTCAAATTGTGTTGCAATGTCTGGAGAAATGCAAAATCTTCATACAGGAATTTGTAAATATAAAATTTCTCAATGCTTACCGACTGATGAAAGGCCTGATGTTGTCTCCTGTAATAGGAGCCATACTCATTGGCATTGGCTCAGGGGTAGATAACCAGTAAGAATAATCATTCCTTGAGGCAAAATTGCATACACTGTTAATGTTGCAGAACAGGAAAGGCATTGTGCTGAATTTACGTAGACAGCTCCCAGCTGTGCCTAAAATAGCAAAAATAAAGGACTGATTTTTCTACAAAAAATGGTTTTCTACGAAACCAAAGCAATTTATACAAGGCTAGAGAACTATGGTCAGGATTCAGCTAATGAGCCCTATAAGGCAAGGATTTCTGCATAGACATGGATCTTCCTCTCCATGTCCCTCTGAAATTTCAGGGAGAACCCGCAGAACAGCACACAGGTGGAGAAGAGGGAAGGTTGGGGATCGTGGGCTAAAATGCCATTCCTAAAAACTGATGAAAAAATGCTTGGGCTTTTGAAGCATCAAACAACCGGGCACAGCTGCTCTGCTTGTGGGCTTGTCTGGGCTTAAGGTGGCTGTTCACAGGTGGACCCTGCCTGTTCACTCCAGCAAGTGGCAAAATGCCCTTCAGAGCCACATGAAAATGTCTTCAGCTGTCCAATACTTACAATTATTATGAAGTTTTTATTTTGGTTAAAGAAAAGAAAATAATTTTAGGTTTTCACATTTCCCAAGTTATTCTTTAAAATAATGAATTAAAATGTTACAATCTGTGAATCTACGTCGTGCAGTGGGGGGTGAACAAGTACAGGAAGAATGCAGGTTCAAGTGACAGGTTAAGACTTCCCCAAACAGCCCACGATCCCATTTATCAAGACTGGCTCTTTGAGGCAGAAAGGAGCTTAATGGCACCTTTTAGATGCTGCAGCAGTTGACAAAACTAAATTGTCCACTACAATTTTACTTGATTTAGGGAAGGCAATTGCGACAAAGGTGTCTTTCTCTAATGTAATATGCTCATTTGACTCAATTTGTTTTGTGCTCTCTTACCCAAGTCCTGACCATGGGCCCGTTCGTTTCCTTGTACATAAAGCAAAGAATACCCGTGGAACATCAGTCTTGTTCCAGATGGGCATGTTGGCTCCTCTGTGCTTTGGCTGTGCCTGGTCACAAGGAAACCGTGAGCTACAGAGGGACTCCCTGGTGGACCCATTGACCCTGGCATGCCTTCAGGACCAGGTGGGCCAGGAAAGCCTCTAGGACCTGTAAGATAAAAATTGTATATCTAAGATAGTTTGCACCTCACACAGAGCATGGAAACAATGGGACACATTTAAAAGTAAACATACATGGATTGGCATTGTTTGTGTTACACAGTGGTAAATCTAAACACACTTACCTGGGAATAAGTACCACCGGGACTCACTTCTGAATAATGTGCCTTTAAATGATAAATCAAGAATTGCTCTTGACTTATTGAAGCCTCTATTAAACTCCTTAGGGCTTGGCACTGGACTACATACAGAACATAGCAACCCAGAAAGATGGGTGGAGTATAAATAATAAAATTATTATTAATTATTATTATTATTATTAGCAATGGAAGAAGATTGGACTTGCCTGGAGGACCAGCAGGACCAGTTTCTCCTTTCTGACCTGGCATTCCATCAAATCCCGGAGTGCCTGGAAGACCAGTCACACCCACAGGTCCCGTTACACCTGTTGAAATAAGGATGTGTCATTACAGTGGATTTATGGAGTCCCTATCATTTGGACAAATCAGTATTCTAAACACCTGGGGAGCAGCTTCCAAGGGTGTGCAGGGAATCATTACATCAGTAGTGGGATGTGGATCCAGCCAGTGGAGTGGATCCTTATCTGCCCTACCCACCATGGGCCTGTTTTCACCCACATCCTATTTTCACTTCTTTATATACTTTGTGGTACTAAAAAGGTAAAGGACCCCTGGACGGTCAAAGGTGACTATGGGGTGTGGCACTCATCTTGCTTCAGGCTGAGGGAGCCAGCGTTTGTCCACAGACAACTTTCCGGGTCATGTGGCCAGCAGGACTAAACTGCTTTAAGTGCTGTTTACCTGCCCGCCTATTTATCTACTTGCACTGGTGTGCTTACGAACTGCTAGGTTGGCAGGAGCTGGGACACAGCAACGGAAGCTCACCCTGTTGTGTGGATTTGAACTGCTGACATACCGATCAGCAGGTACAAGAGGCTCAGTGGTTTAGACCACAGTGCCATTCACCATCGTGGGGCTGGCTAGAGTGGGCATGTGGTGTGAGATGGAAGGATGCAACACTGAGATGGGATGTGGGAAAAGGGAAATGGAAGCAGAGACACGGCAACTGAGCGATCAAAACTCTTGCTGCCATGGTACTGTACTGTACTTTCTTTAGATCTCTTGGTATTTTACTACCAATAATTCCCAAAAGAAATGCTTTGGGCTTTTGGCAAATGAGATTTTGAACATCTTTTAAAATTCATTTAATACATTAAATACTCGGTCTTAGGTACCACCTGTAGAAAATCTTCATGTAGTTCTCCTTAATAGCTGTGAACTTAAGACCCTCCTTCCATAATTTCTCCCTCTCTGACAACTGTATAGTATGACCTAAGTCCACTGCCCACTTTACCATGGCTGACTTTACCTCCTCACCTTTTACCGACCATTCTAATAAAATTTTATACATTTTAGATAAGTTATCAGGTCACTGGGAATCAGGTCTTTCTCGAATCTTGAAAGCTCTTTGCCGAATCTCTTCTTTATATCTTGCATAAATAAAACATAAATTTGGTGATACTCTAGCCAGCTTGTCACTTTATTTTTTACCTCATCAAATTTTTAAAGTTTTAATTGATTATCTTCCTCCTGGAGAATTTCTTTATATGTTACCCAATTGTTCCTCATGTTAACCTTTTTTACATTCATGGCCTCCATTGGTGACAACCACCACAGTGTTTTTTGCTCCAAAATACCCTTTTTTTTTACCCAAACTGCATAGCGAGATCTTATCTAGTTACATGGTTCATAAATTCCCTATGAACTTTCGCTTTCTCACAGCAGGCGCAGGCATGCCAGCCAAAACGGTTGTCTAGGTCTAGTATATATGTGTTTTTTTAAATCAACCACTCCTTGATCCAACACAGCCTCATAATACAGTTCAAGATTTGGCAGGGCAAAATCTTTGTCTGCTGTCTGTCAGGAGTGTGTAACTGATTCTAGGTCTTTTGCCCTGCCATATGAATTTTGTTATGTCCTTCTGCCAGGTTTTAAAATATCTTGTGCTTCTACTACTACTACTGGAATGACTTGAAATAAAAATAATATTTTGGGCAAAACATTCATTTTTATTGTGAAGATCCTACCCCAAAATGATAATTTTAATCTGTCTCATACAGTGGTACCTCGGGTTACATACGCTTCAGGTTACATACACTTCAGGTTACACACTCCACTAACCCAGAAATAGTGCTTCAGGTTAAGAACTTTGCTTCAGGATAAGAACAGAAATCGGGTTCCAGTGGCGCGGCAGCAGCAGGAGGCCCCATTAGCTAAAGTGGTGCTTCAGGTTAAGAACAGTTTCAGGTTAAGAACGGACCTCCGGAACGAATTAAGTACTTAATCCGAGGTACCACTGTATTTCCAAATTTGTTTTTATCTCTTTCCAGATTGGTATGTAATTATCTTTGTACAAATTTATATTTTAACTCTTATCCATATACCTAAATGCTTGATTTTCTTGGTGATCATAAGGCCTATAAACTTTTGTAATTCTCTTTTATCCTCACCTTTTATGTTTTTAACTAACATTTTGGTTTTATCTTTATTTAATTTGAAGCCTGTGACTGACCCAAATTTGTTTATCTTCTCTAAAACTGTTGGCACACTTTCTCTTAGGTTTTCTGTTGTTATCAACATCATCATCATCATCGACTTTTATTGTGCTAGCCATAGGCCATGGAATCATTCAGAAAAATAACAACAAAAGGAAAAACAGCAATAACCATAAAAATCATCAGGCACCACACATACGATATAAACCACGGTCACAACTACTAAGATTATTTGTTGCATAAAATAGAATAGTTGAATTCTCTAGTAAAATGTGCCAAATTAAATATCCAAATCCCCTTTGCAGATGACCATTATTTTATCTAGTTCTTTCCTCCTGATCTTCTTAGTTGTCAACGCAACTAAGTGCTATTTTATAAGTTACAAAGTCATCAGCATCGCTCAGCAGCCATTTCACCCTTTCCCCCCTATTCAAATGAGTTCCATTCGGAAACAAGGGTTTTATGAATCGGTCTCTTGGGTCTATATATAACGGGCACTGCAATAAATAGTGGCACAGGTCCTCCATACAGGGTTGCCCACAGAGACAAAGTCTCTCTTCATAACGTACTTTGCCGTAGCGTCCATCCAACACCGCCGAGGGCATCGATTGGAATCGCAATTCTGTGAATGCGATTCTAAGCATGGCAAGTGGGAGCTTTGACAGGTAACTGGCCTGGGTATGCTCCGTTTTAATAAGTGGGAACCATGGCGAGCTCTTGGTAGAAGCATCTGCATCGGACCTAAAGAGACAATCTCTTAAGTGCCTCTTGTCCATCTTCATAGTCACCTGAAAATCTTGTAATTGATTGGGACAAGAGGCGTTGGATACCATCCTTCCAACATTTGGTCTGTTTCTGTTCTGTTTGTGACATAGCGGGGAATCTGTTTGTGACATAGCGGGGAATCTGTTTGTGACATAGCGGGGAATCATATTTTCACATAATTTAAGCACAGGTAATCAATTCTAGCCTGTATTGTTGTCACGTCAGCTTCAATGCGGAGAAGAGCAGCTGGAGTCCTGCTGGGGAGTGAGAGCATTTTCCTGAGGAATTTGTTCTGCCGTAAAATAGAATTTCATTAATGCCCCACAAGCTTTCTGCACTTTGAGTTTCATAGCCTTGATGTGCCCCTTTCCATGATAGTGTCTCAGTGAAAAGAATTCCCAGATATCTGATATAGTTCTTCCGTGTCCATTTCAGTCTACTCACTAAAATGTCTGCAAAGATTTTATAATCATTGTTAAGTAATAGATGCGTCCGTAATTTTTAACAGCTGATGGCCCTGTTCCCTTTGGAATCAGGGTAGGCTTCCTCCCATGATTCTGGCAGCTTTCCTGTATTTAAGATGTTATTTACTACTTCTTTAAATGGGAATGACAATAATTCTTCTACTTTTTTATAATATTTGGCCGGCAATCTATCTGGACCTGGACCTACTTTCATCTTTTTCATTGCCTGCTGGATTTCTATCATGCTGATTGGAGCCGCTTCCTCTTTTGAAATCTTCCAGAGTTTATTTTGGTTTAAGAACTTGTCCATTTTTTCTTGATTTCCTTTGTAGAGTTCCATGAAATATGCCAGGAAGCTGTTACTTATCTTTTTTGGTTCCTCAATTATTTCTCCATCCACAATCAATTTATTAATCATTTTTCCATTTTTTCACGTTGTTTCTTTCTTTAATTGCCATGCCAGCAGCCTACCAGGGAGCAACTGAGCTTCTCTGCTGCAAATGAAATCTCAGCATCTGTCCCTAGAATAATTCCATTCTGGTACAAGTGCAGAAAGCCATAGAAATACCCTAGAAAGTGATAAAGACTGTCCTTCCTCTGTAGAAAGTGGGGCAATAGGTTAACCAGAAATATGTATCTTATTGAAAAAGGCTTGTGCCTTTCTCCAGCCACATTGCAGCCTTCATGGAAATGGATAAAATGCATGTCTCATTGGAAGAATGCATCTAAGCCCAGGCACCATGTGCCTCACTGTTCTGGATAGTCTAAACTGATTTTCAACATGGTGGTGACAGCTTTGCTGTGACTCACCTGATTTGGCCTCGTAAACCTATGAATTCTAGAAGAACTAAAAAGCCTCTCACCTTGTTGGCCTTTTGGGCCTGGAGGACCAGGAAATCCCTTAGGGCCTACTGGGCCTACAGGGCCAGGTTCACCTGGTTCACCTTTCAAGAGCTGGAAGGGGCCTGGAGGACCTGGTGGGCCTGGAAAACCTGTCAAAGATAAAGAGTAAATAATATCCACTCAGCAAATTACATTGTGTCAATATTATATGTTGAGGGGATTACAAACAAAGGTGCTAATTGGAGAGGCCCCTTAGGATCATGTTATATATTTGAGATTCTGCTGATTTCATTTTAAAAAATTAAAATATTTCTGCTCCTTGACATCAAAATAATCAAATGTGCTGAGCATACCCAGTCCCAATGAAGAAACACGTTTGGAAGTTTAGCTCTATGTTGACAAAGCACTCCATTATGTCAGCTCCCAAAGTACAAGGGATATAAGCACCACTCCTGCTAATTAGCTAGCTAGGCTCCAACATGGACAGTTGGAGCAACAGCGCAACCACACCCCTTCCAGTTTACTTAAACTCTCTCATCTGACACAGGTTATGCAAGCAACTAGCAATTTATCCTGTGCAGCAGCTCCAGATGCTCCTGTCGCTTTAAGACCCTCCTCGTTCTTGGACATAGTGGAGGAAGGTACAAGGAAAACTCTAATGGCCAATTCTCTGGGACTGTGCCTCCCTGCAACTCTTCCCTCACCCCCTCTTCCTCCATCTCCAAGTGCCTAGACACTCCCCCCTGCTTCATGGGTGGCACACAACCCCACAAATCACTGGCCCCTTCCCCCGGATCATTCTCCTGCTCCCCACCTCTTCTGCCCACCCCTCAGACACCAGCCTGTCCTTGACATCAAACCTGAAGATAAAATGGACAAAGCTATGACATACCTTTAGCTCCAGGAAACCCTTGGTCACCTTGTTCTCCTTTGAGTCCAGGAACGCCTGAAGAACCTTTTGGACCTGGATAGAAATTAAACTTTCAGTATAGGCAAGTCTGCTTATTTATTTACTAATTCTAAACCACACTTCCTACATACCAAATACTTGAACTATTTTATACTTTCTACTTGAGTACAATCATGGAATCATAGAACTGAAGAGTTGGAAGGGACCTCAAGGTTCATCTAGTCCAACTGCCTGCAATGCAGGAATCTCAACTGCATTGCATCCATGACAGATGGCCATCCAACCTCTTCTTAGAAATTGTCAGTGAAGGAGAGTCCACCACCTTCCAAGGGAGTTAGAATGAAAATCTATTTTCTCTTTATTGTCACTCTAAATCAGAAGACCATGTAGTTACTGATGGCCATTATATCGTCCTTCATACCTTGAGGGCCTGGAATTCCAGAAGGCCCCATGTCACCTTTTGGGCCAGTAGCTCCTGGAAAGCCAGCATTGCCCTGCAGAAGAGAAAACAGCCCTCAGTTATGCCTTTAGGGACAAGTGACACACAGGTGTGTGGACAATTTCTAAAACTGCAACAAGTCAAGCAGTCAACACGTATCTCCTGAAATTGAATAGACAAGTAAGTTATGCATAAAAAAGGATCTGCTACATGGCACAAGACTCCAAGTTCTGCATATGAAATAAGTGGGTAACACAATTTGCTATACGTTGTAGAATGAGGTGGGAATTGTGGGAAATAGCAGTCAAACATAACTACGTAAGCATGAGTGCTAGTTAGTGCATGAAGAGGTCTTTGTCTCTAGGCTCTTCTCGATGAGAGTGATGTGAAGCTCCTGTTCCTAACTCTATCCTTGTCCAGAGAGCTATTCATGGTTAAAAATATGTGTGAACAGGAGCAAAAAGCTCTACAGGAAAAGACGGATTGTGAAAAAAGCGAAGTATTTGGGAATTGAAATAACAATGAAAAATATTAACCTTTTTGACAACAAATACAAAAAAACTGGAGAGAAATTAAAAAAGATTTTAAGATTTGGAATAGATTAAAATTGTCGTTTTGGGGAAGAATTTCAATAATCAAAATGAACGTTTTCCCAAAATGCTCTATTTCTTCAATATGATCCCGATTATGAGTAATATGTTTTGATGAATGGAGAAAAGATCAATACAAATTGTTAATGGATAAAAGAAAAAGATTTAAAATTATATTATGAGGCGGAGTGCTTAATTTGGTTAAAAGAGTGGATACCAGATTTACCGCCTGCTAAGTCCTGCCCACCTAGCAGTTCGAAAGCATGTCAAAGTACAAGTAGATAAATAGGTACCGCTCCGGCGGTAGGGTAAACGGCGTTTCCGTGCACTGCTCTGGTTCGCCAGAAGCGGCTTAGTCATGCCGGCCACATGACCCAGAAGCTGTATGCCGGCTCCCTCGGCCAATAAAGCGAGATGAGCGCCGCAACCCCAGCGTCGGTCACGACTTTACCTTTACTTTATAGCATTAAAGAGAACTTTATGAGAATGTTCTTTAGGTGGTATCTGGCAGCATCAAAACTTCCAAAGATTTATAAATTAAAGTCCAATCTGTACTGGAAATGCAATAAAGTCGAAGAGACAATGATTCATGTTCAGTGGAGCTGTGAAAAGATTAAGAATTTTTGGGGTATTATACATGAAGAGTTGAAAAAGATGCTCCAAATCCCCATAGAAAACAAAGCAGAGGCATATTTATTAGGTCTACTGTATTAGGGAAGGACATTCCACAGGAAACGAAAACAATTTTTCTATACGCTACGGCAGCCGCCAGAATAGTTCTTGCTAGTAAATGGAAAGGTGAGACAATACCCACAAAAGAAGATTGGATATGTAAATTAAATGAATTTATAGAATTGGCAAAGTTAACAGCAGCCATAAGGCTCCAGACAAATAAAAAATTAAGATCAGAATAGCAGTGTTTTGAGGAGTATATGGAAAAACACTGCTCTAAAAAGAATATATTGATATGCATGGATTAAGTATAAGCGAGAATAAAAATTTGAAATGGTTATAAGATGTATTATCCAAAGAATGCAATGACAATATTCAAATTTGAACCCAAGGAAGTCGAGTCTTGGTGGAGGGAAGTGTGTGTAGGGTTTATGTTTGTAGTGTAGGGTGTATATGTACAGTATTTTCTTTTGGTCGATTTTGTATCAGTATTTGTTTATTTCATTTTCATTTTCTGTATCATTTATTAAGTAATAAAAAGAAGAGGTTATTGTTGCTAGACTCTTCTCCATGAGAGAGGATGTGAAGCTGCTTCTCTTCCTGTTCCTAACGCTATCCTTGTCCAGATAGGGGCACAGCTGGGCCATGAGCTGAAGCTGATGGCAGGCACTCGGCACCACTGTGGCCACCTGCGCCTCAAGTGACAGCAAAGAATCCAGGAATACTCCCAAGCTACGTACCTGCTCCTTCAGAAGGAGTGTAACCCCCTCAAGAGCAGGTCACCTCCCAGCCTTCTGGTCTGGGGAACCACCCACCAACAGTGCCTCAGTCTTATCTGGATGGAGTGAAGTTTGTTGGCTCTCACCCAGTCCATTACCGAGGCAAGACATCAGCCCACACTTCCACTGCTTCACCTGCAGTGGATTAACTTGGTATCAACTTTTAGATCGCCTGAGATGTCATATTACAAAAGTAAAATATTGTAGTAAGAAGTTTAACCATTCAGACAATATAGTTCTCATCTCTTTTTTACAGCAGAAGAACTGACTGCAAGTTTTCTTTGGTTTTGGTAGCGATGTGTGTGTTTCTCCAAGTTCCAGGCATCAAGCCATGATCCTTTATATTTGTAAATAATTTCAGCAAGAATGGGGCCACAAGTTCAGAAAAGGTTTTATAAAAATAGCCAGTAAACTCATCTGGTCCAGGTGCCTTAAATGGTTTTGTCTTTTTTATACTAGCTAATATTTCCTTCAAGTGAAAAGGGTTGATTTAAGTAAGTTGCATGCTCTTCTGTTAATTTTGGAATGTTAACTGTGGCCAAAAATTCCTGAATGGTGTTTAGTGATGGTGTTTCAGAAGTGTATAAGGTCTTATAGAATGCATGAAAGGCTTAGTTAATTTTAAGTTTATCATGTGTTATTTCGCCTTTGTCTGTTTTTATTGAGTGGAATGTTCTGTTTAATTTACGTTTCTTTAGTTGGTTTGCCAAGATTGTTGAGTTTTTATTATTAAATTCATAGTACTGAAGATTTAAATATTGAAGGGATCTTATTATTTTTGGTATTTCTAACATGTCTAATTCTTTCATTTTTTGAATTAATTTGCGATACACTCTGTTACATGTTATTTTATGTTTTTCTTCTAATTCTTTTATTTCTTTTTCTAATTGGATATGAATATTTGATTTTGTTTTTTTTATTCTACTCTTCTCACTGATTAATGTTCCTTTAATTACTGCTTTGAAGGTATCCCAAATTAAAGCTGGGCTATATAATCCTGCAGTGGGACGCGGGTGGCGCTGTGGGTAAAACCTCAGCGCCTAGGACTTGCCAATCGCATGGCCGGCGGTTCGAATCCCCGCGGCGGGGTGCGCTCCCGTCGTTTGGTCCCAGCGCCTGCCAACCTAGCAGTTCGAAAGCACCCCCGGGTGCAAGTGGATAAATAGGGACCGCTTACCAGCGGGAAGGTAAACGGCGTTCCGTGTGCTGCGCTGGCTCTCCAGATGCAGCTTGTCACGCTGGCCACGTGACCCGGAAGTGTCTGCGGACAGCGCTGGCTCCCGGCCTATAGAGTGAGATGAGCGCACAACCCTAGAGTCTGGCAAAACTGGCCCATACGGGCAGGGGTACCTTTACCTTTACCTATATAATCCTGCATCATTGATCTTAAAAAATTATGGTATCTCTTTTTGCAACTGTTCAAGAATCAATTGATCTTGCAGCAGCCATGGGTCAAGTCTCCATACTGGGTTCCTTGGGTATCCCCCTTCTCTCAGCAGTTCAGCAATAACCATAGCATGGTCAGAGACTTCTCCTGCTTTGATCTCTGAGAAGTGGATCCGATGGATCCATCCCTCTGTCAATAAATAATCAATTCTAGAGTACCGTATGTTCCGGCGTACAAAACAGCCAAACACCTCGCCTCGGGCTGCTGCTGCTGCTGCTACGGCAGAGAGCAGCGGAGGGGTGCGCGCTCTGCCCCTTCTGCCATCACTCCTCCTCTCTCCCCATAGAAGGGGATGCGGAAAGTCCTTCCGAGTGCGGCGCTTACTCACCCGCCCGCCAAACACCTCATCTCGGGCTGCTGCTGCTGCGACGAGGCAGCAGAGGGGTGCACGCTCTGCCCCTGGCGGCGCTCAAACTCTGTAACTCTAAAACTCTAAAATTGAGCAGCAAAAGTTGGGTGTCGTCTTATATGCCCAGTCGCCTAATACGCCGGAATCTATGGTAGTTTGTATGGCAATTGCTAAAGTGAGTATAGTCCCTTAAATCAGAGTTTGCCATTCGCCAGATATCATATAAATTGAATTTTTAAAGAATTCTATACAGAAGGGTTTTTGTTGATGGGGAACCTCTATTAACCTTTTTTTTCTGACCTGAAAAATTTCTGTCAGAATATGCATTTAGGACTAAATTGAAATCTCCCCCCAGGATTATTTGACCTTTTTAAAAATTTTCCAGTTCCGTCAATGTTTTTTCCAAAAATTCTTCCTGTTGGTTGTTTGGCGCATAAAGATTACCTATAGTGAGCCATTGGTCTTGAAATGTGCCCCTGATAAACAAGTAACATCCATCAGGATCACTAGGGGTTTGTTCAGGTTTAAATTCTGATTTATCCGCAACCCATGTTGTTACCCCATGAGCCTTAGATGTTTCCTGAGAGGCAAACAACTGTCCCCCAGAGGAGGGGAGGGGAGACGTACTCATTGTACCCCCTCCTCCTCTGGTGAGTCTCCTGGACCAGAATCAAGTCCGGTCTCCCTTTTCCTTCCAAACCCGTCTCCTTTTGATGGGTGACACTAGTCCATTAACATTCCATGTGATTATTTTTAAATGATCCATACTTGCTCCAGGATGATTAGTACATGATTAGTACATGATTAGTACATAGGAGCGCATGGAAAACATTATATCTAACAAACCCCAAACTGCACCTCCCCCCCTCCCCTCCCACCTACAACAAGAAAACTCCGTCTTACTGTTGGAACCATTGGAACAGAGTAGTAAATTCTACTCTTTCAGTAGTATTGTTTTAGGGGATGACCAAAATCACTGCTCCCCCCCCCCAGGAACATTCTATGATAGTAAAGTTACAAAGCAAGTCATAAAAACCAAGACAAAACAATCTCACGCAGAGCAGAAGCCATATTGTGGGATTCTCTGTCCATTTTTCTTCTGTACTGGATTTTTCTTTCCTTTAATTTTCTTCACTGTCTTCCCCCCCTTGTTGTTGCCATTCAAAAGGGTATTTT